AGCTCAGTTGAGTCTCATAGACCTTTATCGTGATTGTCGTCACAGTACCACGTGACCCAGATCTGTTGCTTCATTTTTGCATATTGAGGTGAGGTTTACTAAAACGCTTTTTTTCTACTAATAGATTGTTTTTATAATTTTTAAATGGCGGGGATCGATTAAAACATACCTCTAGTGTATAGATTGAGTGCTGTATCTTCAAAATTCGAGAAATGGATTTTTACATGAACATTGTCCTTTAAGCATCTTGTCCGATGCTGACCATCATATAAGGTTTTGAAAATAATCACAAATCATTTATATTGAGATTTGATCGTAAACAGTTCACTCTTTACGCTAAAGTACTGCCATAACATACCTTCATCATGCTGTTTTGGTCAACATTAAATTTTATCCACGTGTAAGTTGGTCGATACTCTGTTGCTAGTCGGGTGTAGTTCAATGTATTCAGTCCATCAATCATCGTCCCGTATTGCTTATACAGCTTCGATGCAAACTGGCTCATTTTGAAACTATGGATGGTTTGAAAGGATAATCATTATACAACGAAAGCTATGCAACATTGACATTTTGCAGACTATACTAATATGTCACTGCATGCTGTTACTTTAACATTACGAGGGGGGGGCCAAATAAATTTTCACAAAAGATAATGTCAACGGGATTAATCAATCGTTTTTGATAGACACGTTAAAGGTTATTTTTCCTAATTTAATCTGTCACAAATAGTAGTGTTTTGCAACATATAAAAGCACAGAAATAAAAAAAAATTGTCACTTAAGTCGCCTCTACCTCACCCTATTCACACTATTATAAATAATAACTTACTTCTCCTTGTTGTCGTAGCCAGGTGGATGCGTGTGGTTTAAAACCCTGTACATTCCCATATGTGTGTGCGCATGCTCAATGGGAACTTTTTGAGCGACAATCCTAGAAAAACAAATTCGCCTTTTCAAGATGATTTTCAATCGGCTGAATTGACATCCACTTGGGGCACGCTTTTATCGATATTATACGTATACCTTTCTGTGGTCTGCGAAACGACGCAGTGACCGAAAACAAAAAAATCCCTACCTTAGATTAGTCTTGTTTTTGAGAGACTCTTCTAGAAAAACAAGATCGCTTTTTCAAGATGATTTTCAACCGGCTGAATAGACATTCACTTGGGTGCTCTCTTATCGATATTACTTTACTGTGGTCTACAAAAACTCAGTGGCCGAAAACACTGCTGTCTATGGGGATAGGAAACGTTTCACCAAATTATTTTGTTCATGCAATTTTGCAGGTACTTTTTAGCATGGCCGTCAATGGGAAATTATTTGATGATTTCTGCCCTGAAGGTTAATCTAATATATCCGGCTTATTTATATCAGAAACCCCAGCTTGAGAATGAGGAGCACCAGTTTTTTACCCATTTTTGGTGGGTTATGCCAGGAATCTAGCACAGATGTAAATATATCCTTCACGTCATTTATTCAACTTACCTGTGAAAAAGATCGTCGTCGTCTCCTCCCCATCGTATGAAATTATTAGCGAACCCGTTTATTTTCTTGAATGTGTCAGGAGTGAATCCAATAGCTCCTCCTATGTAGTTTGGGTACAACAGGCTAAAACAGAATTCAGACGTCGATACATACATTTGCATACATGTAGTTATATGTATGGTTATCATCAGTTACAATCAGAACTAAAAATATAAGTGCAGTAGATGATTTAAAGAAGAACGGAGAACTTATCTTTTTAATATGGTTATGATTGAACATTTCAAACGTTACAGAACATTATATTTAGTCATTTTTCTTTATTTTTTATACTATTACTTGTTAACGTAAAATAATTTTTTTAACTTCGTAAAGTCTTCCGAATGTTTTAATGGATTTTAGACCATCAATGAATTTTTAAAAAAGATAGGGTAACAAAAATATGTTAGATTGTGTAAAGAATTCTAGAAACTGACCTGTAATTATACCTGTCCTCAGCGGAGGCAAAATGAAAAACTCTGTCAGGAGGACATCTATAGAGCAGTGAATTGTTCATAGGGATTTTATCCACGTCTTGAAATATGTAGCAGGTGAAATCAAACATGGCACTAGCCTCGACGAATCCAATATTTTTGGCATACCCCGTGTTAAAAGGTTCTGGGTGAGCCTGAAGAAATATGAATGCAATGAAGATGAATGCAAAAACACATCTGTTGTAAACAAATAATAATAATAATAATAATAATAAGTGCCCAAAATGTTGCCTTTAATTTATTTTACTATAATTACCATTTTTTTGGAAGATGATGTGACGACGCGAACCCTTAGTGTACTTGTACTCAATATACATAGACTCTGAGGCAACCGAACGTCTTTTATGAGAGAGAGAGGGGGAGAGAGAGAGAGAGAGAGAGAGAGAGAGAGAGAGAGGATGAAGATAGCTACGAAGGAACTGGTATTTACTGACCTGCTCAATGACAAATATCTGGTAGTGGCACTTCTGACTTTGTAGAAAAGGATGTAGATTTTGGAGGAGAACATCCAGGTGTTCTTGTCTGTCACGGTAAGGGATGATGATGGCCACGTGGTCCCTAGGCTTGCATGACGTAGGTGCCCATCGGCCTCCGGTGGCGACCTCTTTAAACAACTCCGTTCTATTTGGAATTGGCAAAAGTCCCAGATTAACTTGAAATGCATTTTCTAAAATCGAAAAAGAAGACAATTTCATAACTTTTGTCATAATCATATGACATTTTGTTCATAATCCCCGAAGAAGGCCCAGGGGCGAAATCTCGGATTGTATTTTACAGCTATAATGTAGATCTTTCAAGGTGCATCAATATATATACTTCTTTAACTTATGTCAGTAATGTATTTAACGGAATATGCACAAAAGTGACTGCAATTGCCATTTTACTCAACCCGTTTTGTTGATGACATGTTGATGACTCTACCCTCTATTACGGTGGCCGATAATATAGGCACATTTTCCACATTTCACAGAGAACCAAATGACCGTCTATTTATCTAAAGACATCTGTGAATATCTTGTGAAAAAACAATCAATGACCCTGGTAGAGAGAGGGTAGATTAACCCTAGCTGTGATGTGTGGGAAGTCTCTTATAATAATACCGCATGAGTATCTTCTTGGTTGGTTCTGCATTGGAAGGTTTATCTCTCAGTTTTCCCCAGCTCGTTTTCCCCAGTTCTCTTTTTAAAGAACAAAGAACCACTTACGTGTAGTTACAAAAAGATATATCCTAAGAGCGCTTCTGTATTTATTGAGACTCCGATTGATTCCTCTTTTTGTCCTTACCTAAATTTTCCTCGGTTACTATGCAGATGTCCAGAGATTTGGCGGCCATTCTGTAATTAAATTGGACGTCGTTTGATTAGTTACAAAGGGTCAGTATTAATCCTTTTTTAAGCTTGAAAAGTTGTTGGTCGTGACTAGCAATTGTTTTGTAGAAAAAAATGAAGTGAACGCTGACTTGAATTCTCCCTTGTTATCCACTCTTTGCTCTCCGTCCAAAGCCAAACTGAACGAGTAGTAGCAGTATACACCAGGCCCGTAGCCAGCAATTTCAAAAGGGGGGTTCTTTTTCTGAAAAAGTGGACCTTTTCCCATAAAAAACTTCATGTACCTAGATCAAATTTTACTCAGAGTGGACCTTTTCCCAGCAAAAGGGGCGGTTCTTTCGAACCCACCGGACCCCCCCTGGCTACGGGCCTGTACACGTATTTTGATGCAGGACAAATGTCTTGTATGTGACCAGAAGTAAAATTAGCAATTAACACATCATTGGATAATATTCAACATTCAAAAGAACGATATTTGGTCTTAGTGAAATATTGCAAAGTTCAAAATTAGAATAATGCAAAAGTGTACCTGACATACATGTACCTGAATATCTTCCGGTTGACTGCTACAATCCAAACTAAATTCACTATAGAGAAGGCAAAGAAGAACGAGAGTAATTTCATCTTTGTCTTATATTCTGTCTACACTTCGTTATTCCTTTTTCCTAGCACGAGTAAATGCAAGGTTATCACAGTGCCTGCTCAGTGCATGAAGGTATATGTAAATGCATGGTGTTGATTCAGTGGCCAGTGTGCTGTAGACGGAGGGATGTGAAAGTCGGTTATCTACAGACATTGTATGGGAAGCATAATTTTGGGAGCATAATAGCAGGGTTTTATATGCAGCACTAGTAAATAATCAGATCAACGCAATTACTATGATTGATATCTAGTCTAGCATATCTTGTAAAGCGCATTTCATTATTCATGCGTACTTTTCAATTTGCTGACCAGTTTTACATGTACCGTGTACTTATCTGGTCTTAAAAGTACACATATAAGCGAATTTATGATAATTACGTATAATTTCTTAGATGGGGTGGCACTGTCCGATACTGAGACACTTTAAAATTTCTCTTAAACCCCAATCAGATAGACACATCGTACTAGTCGGTTCGGCCCAATTCTACTGAGGTATTAATTTTCGGATGATTATAATATGTGTAACTCACAGGGTTCCGGCATAACTCGACATCCGACTATGTCGTCCACTTTTCGTGAACAAAAAAGCATAACAAACAACCTCACATCTTCAGTTCCTAATTAAAAAAATCACTCATTATCTACAATGTACACACTGCAATGCATGTATGCTTTATCTAAATGGCATCAAGACTGATGGTTTAAATACTAATTGTTGTGCAATATTTACAGGTGAGGGTTTTCACTTATCAGATTTAATGCATTCAATTATGTTAAGCATACCTATATAGTGATTGATATAAAGCCACATGTATTTCAAGACAGGCAGACATGGAGAAAATTCTGAGATGCTAAAGATCCAGAGAACCAGCACTTCAAAATATCAGCAGGTCTTCCCAATTCTGTGCTGGTCCAAACTCAATATTTTATTTCCGTTCGTCTATGTTTACACAGGATTTATTGCATGCATTGTATCCCCCCTCCCCCCAAAAAATAATAATAATCATAATAATGAAGATAATTGGCAGTTCAGAGAACCTGCGGTATCAGAAAATCTTGCAGGTCTGCTGACATTTCATTTCATGACTTGTCGGACAAGTTGTTCCTCCGTGTTTAGACACAAGCAAACTAAATGAAAAGATTCTTACAAAACACGTAATTGGGGG